CTGAGAAGAAGATGAACAGTCAGAAATTTAAATCTGTATATATGGCTTCTATGTATAAGAGATGAAAGGGCTTAAGGATTCAAATTTTTGGGAGTCGTGCGTGACGGCTGCGCCAATTGCATGGCACCAATGGGTGTATGCCACGTGTCCTAGGCGTGACGTGATGTTAGTAAAGCTAGTTGTATGGAGCACCAAAATGATTTAGACCGAACAGATAATAGGATCAAAGTAAAATTTATCTTGGTTGGACCAGGTAATCTCAGTCATGCTTTCATAGATGAAATTAAAGAGCAATTGAGAGGGGAATTTGTGTTGCGATATTTATTCTGGCTAAATCAGACCCTTGTTGTCAGCCGGGCTATGGATTGGAAGAGAGCATGGTTTAGGCCATGCAGAGTTCGTACTGGTCAAAGATGTTGTTTGGTTTGACTGAGCAAACTAGGTCTAGATTACACATGAACCAAGCTACACTTTAGTGGACTTAGGATTTGGGCTGAGGTTGGGCTAGCTTGATTATCCTCTAATGGTACTCTGAAAGGTGGACTTGACTGAACTATCATAAGAAGACCGGTCAAGCACAGTTGGGCGCGTGCTGTTGACTGAGCTATCTAGACTATCGTGCAACGTTAGCATGGTAGCATGCCACGTTGGGTTTGTGCGGTGCTACACATTGCTTGGTTGTTTCAAAGAACTAACAAGGTTAAAGCATTACATATACTCAGTTGAGAGCTGCGCAGAGAGTTGTGTCATATCACTTGGTTTGCAGTGATCAGGGTGTAGAGGATAGGCATTATCCTTTAGGAAGATAATTCCTAGTGGGACTGTAGAAATGTGAATTAGAGTTCTATTAGGAGTCTGTCATGCGAAACTTATAAAAGTTCAAGCTTAACCTAATTATAGGTATTGCAATTTTAGTAGTCGAATTCATAGAGTTTTTCTTCCTTGTTGATCCTATTTCATAACTTAGGCATCAGGAGGTCTTTGGCACACACCTGCCGACTAGCTCGCGTTTCTATGATTTTAGGCCATACAACGACGTTTGTAAGAGTACAAACTTGATTAATAGGATTATACAAGTACCAAATATTTCGTGCTCGTACAAGTGTCATATGTGATTTGATAAAAATACCCTTACTTCTATTATCAATTCTAAAAAATATGGAGGTAGGGATTATTTAGTGACAAATCTAATAAATTATGACACAAATCAGTGCATCTAAAATATCATAGATCAAAACGAGACATAATAATTTGATTATATTATCGAGTACGTAATCCTATCAAATAACTTCTATTTTCAATTTGGGTATAGGTTAATCGGTCTGAGCGTTTCAAATTGATTTAAAATAATAAAAATAAAAGTTACATTAAAACTCAAAAACAATTAGAAATCCAAGCTAAACAACTACTACAAACGATCAAAATAAAATATAAATTGTAAAATAAAATAGGGTAAATTACAATCACCTTTCTTGAGATTTCTGACAATTACATTGGTATTCCTTACTTTTTTTGAAATTATACTGACCTCTCTTGAGATTTACTTTCGATTTGCATATTCTCTCTTTTCGTCAATTGACCGTTAGTTTGATTAACGGTATTTTTTATTTTTTGGTGCGAAAGTCAGTGATTAATTGTTAAATTAGCACATGTACGGTATAAAATCAACTATTGATTAAAAACTATGAAATAACTTCTATTTTATTTATGTAATTAATTTTTTAATTGTTTAATCATTACTTTTGTGGTGATCAAACCCACAAATATCATAACTTGATAGTATTACCCTATATATATTTACAGTCAAACCATGTGAGTATTTAGAAATAATTTATTTAATACTCCTCAAATAAATACATGTGGTGTCTCAATTTAATTTTCATTAATTTAGATGGTGAGACTCATCAAATTTATCTTCTTTTTTTTTTTTTTTTTAAGATAATTGAACTTTATGATGTCAAATAATGATTAAATACTGCCACATCACTTCTCTTATATTTACGTAATTAAAATTTTAATTTGTTTCATTATCACTTTTGTCATAACAATAAATTATTTAAGAGTACATACCATTTTATGTGTACTATATATAAATTATAACATTTGTGATCTGGAAATTCCTAACAATTATACTAGCTTCTTTTCATTTTTCTAAAATTACACTGATCTCTTCCGTGGCTAACTCTCTGTCACAGGAGAATTCAGTGTGATTTTAAAAAACGAAGAGACCATTGTAATTGTTAACAACCTAAGCATCTCCAACCAACTAGGCATATGATGCTTGTTAGTCAAAATGCCTAATGTGACTCATTTTTTTCAACTCCAATGCACTAGGCATATGATTAGGCATTTTGGCTCAGCTCACATTCACTAGCTACATGTAGCTAGCCTTCAAGGCTAGGCAAAATGTATTTAATCATTAGGATTATTTCCCTCCATCTTTGTTACTGATGTGGCATTCTATGAAGTTAATAGTATTTGGATGAATAGCTAAAATAAAGAGCATGGTTGGAGTAGAAACATGAAACAGTTGACAGCCAAAATAAAATGTATACTTTATAGTAATATTTAGATAGGTAAAATACCTACTACGGTTGGAGATGCAAGGTGACTATAATTTATCTAATAAAACATAGTGCCAGTTTGGATGCAAGCAAAGTTTAGAATACAAAAGGGATGGGTGGGTCACTTTGGTCATTTCCACTTTGTAAAAGAAGTTAAGGTTGTGTTTGATTCATAAATTTAATGAGGAATTTAAAATGGAAAATGAAGGTTCCATTTGGTAAGCCTCTCAAAATATAATTCTACCCATTGATTTGACTGTGTTGTTTGTTTAGAGTTTTCAAATCATAATTCTACACCCATTTCTCAAAACTCAATTCAAAACATAATCATTACTTTTCAAAATTCATAACCAAATATATAATTCAAAACTCTTTTCAAAACTCAATTCAAATCAATATTTTAATTTTGTTAAGATTTTAAATATTTTAATATTTAAATATCTTACGATTTTTTAAATTTTTAATTTTTTTTTTGAATATTTTTGAATATTTTAATTTCAAAATATTACGATTTTAATTTTTTAAATTTTAAAATATTTTATAAAAATAAATTCAAACTCTATTTTATAAAAATATTTTTAAATATTTTAATTTTTTTGTTATGTATTTGGTTATGATTTGAGTGTAGAGTTATGAAAGTAGTATGGAGTTTCGAATTATGTGTTTGGTTATGACTTTTAAAAATAATTTAATAATTGAGTTTTGTTTTATGTGTTTGGTTACAATTTGAGTGTAGAGTTTTTTTTTAAATTTAAAATATTAACATTTTAAATTATTTAAAAATTTTGAATATTTAAATTATTTAAATTTTTACGATTTAAATTTTTTACTTATTAAATTTTTTAGATTATTTAAATTATTTAAATATTTATGATTTAAATTTTTTGAATATTTATTTTGAAAAAAAATTATTTCCTTTGTAGTATTTTCAATTAAAAAATTGATTAATGTTATTTTCTGTTAATAATAATTTTTTTAAATTGAATTTTAAAAAGAGTTTGGTTATGAGTGTTGATTAAAATTTTTAATAGTGTGAAAGTAGTGTGTTTTGTTATGAGTTATAATAATTTGAATTAAGTTTTGAAAACTCTTTCCAAAACTCATAACTAAACAAATTTTCTTACATCACATGTCAAATCAAACTTTCAAAACTCAATTCGATACTCAATTCAACACTCTATTCAAAAATCATAATCAAACAAATTTTCTACACTCAAATCATAATTCTACAACTCACAAATTCAAAATACAACTCATACTCTCAAATCATATTTACAAAATTCTACCAAATGCAACCGAAATTTTTTTAAAATTCATAAACTAAACACAATCTAAAGCGGAACATTATCTTAGCTACTTGATTAAAAGACCACAAAATAATTATGTTAAACATGTATTTGAATTATGAATTTTGATAAGAATTTATAAAATGAAAAAGAAAAAAATAAATAAAATATGAATAAAATATAATTTTTAAAGAAAAAAAGTTAAATCCAAAATCCAAACACACTATGGGCATGTTTGATTGAGTGGATTAGAGCATGAGATTGAGATTATTAATCTGTGGACCAAATTATCCTATGTTTGTTTTAACATTTTGGTTTAGGATTATTAATCCAATGGATAATTAATCCAACAAATTTGTAAGATTATTAGTAATAGAGTAGGGGTGTAATTATTAATCCAATGGATATTAATACAATTGGATAGTGAATACTACACTAATTTAATAGAATTATTAATACTTCACTATTAATTTTGTGAATCAAACATGACCTATAAAAATAATTACTTTATAAAGTGTATCTAAAGTGGAATATTATCTTTAGTCTCACAAATTTAAAATAATTATACTCATTCTTTAAGATTTTAATTTAGATAATACTTTTTCATATATTTATTAGTTATTCGTTAGGTTTATGAATTAAAAAATAATGTTATAATTATCTTTTTTACACAAAATGATGTTATGATTTCTGTCTTTAACAATGATTGAGTGCCTAACATCTCAATTGAGGGTGTTAACTGGACAATTGAGCTAGTAAAATTTGTTAATTTGTTGTTGTATTGAGTTCACAAAAGGAATAAAATGCATTATCGAATTATCGAAATAAAATGAATGTATTAAGTTGTCCAATCCAGTATATAGTAGAGTGAAAAACTAGTTCTGAGCTCTTGTTCTAAGCCAATAAACCATGACACATCAAAAGAATATTGATCACCTTTTATATATCACAAGCAAAGTAAATTGTAAGGACAGAATTGATCACAACTCACAAGCAAAGCTATCAATATTCTTTTTTCTTTTCTTCTTTTTTTGAACATGACAATTGACAAGTAAAGCAATAAATATTCGAAAACTGTTTTTTTTTTATTTATTTATAATAAAATTCAATTTTCCAATTCTAATTTTCAGTTTCATTGTTGGAGGTGAAGACTGAAGAAGAGGCTAGTGGATAGGTTTGCTTGTCTTCTTCACTACTGGGCGGGTTTCTAAGCTGTGCTTGCTCTTTCTCATCTATAGAAGAGAGACACAGGTACATACTTCAATAACTTTTCTTTCTTCATTTCCTCTTCGAAACTACATTGTAACTGTTTTCATCATATAACCTTGCTTATCCATTTGACGTATTGAACGATTGTTGAAAATTAGGTTTAGTGTTATGTAAATTAAAACCTTAAAGAAGTCTCATATAATTATGTTAAAATTGTAAAGTTTACTGCATTTTATCCAAGCTTCAGGGGACCCAAAAGAAAATTTTAAATTAATTATATTAGAGTTAAATACACAAATGATTCTCAAAGTATGCATCTTGTGTTATTTTAGTCTCGAATGCTTCAAATGTGTCGATTTGGTCCCAACCTATTAATTTTGTTACTAAATGCTCTTTTCCTCCATTTCCATCTAGAATTGATTATGTATGACATTTTTGTCAAACTACATTTACATATTAGTAAAATGAGGGAAAAAAATAGTCTCCACAGTGTGTGATTTGTTTTAATTGGGTCTCCGATATTTTAATTATATCAATTTAGTCCCTAACTTATTCAATGTCATATGTGATTTCATGAAAATATCCTTACTTCTATTATCAATTGTAGACACTAATGGAGGTAGGGACTACTTAGTGACAAATTTAATAGGTTATGGAGCAAATTGACACATTTAAAATATTGAAGATCAAAATGAGATATGGCAATTTGATTATATTATAGAGTAATACTACAAACACATCCTTATCAAGGTTCGTTTGGGATGTAGGTTGGTTTTTTGACTTTTTTGCTATTTTAGCCTGAGGCTAAAAAGTCTCGTTTGTGATGAAATTTTTGACTTTTGTGAGAAAAAAAATAAAATGATTATGGTTTGAATGTGACATTTTGTCTTATTGACTTTTTAACCTATTTTATCTTTTTATGACTATTTTAGCCCAAATCATTTTGCCAAACGAGTACTCAATCCAAAAATTACCTAGAAATTAATCTTTACCACACCTCGCATGGGCTCTACATTACACAAATTAATCTCCACCACACAATCACTCACCCAGAATTTCCTGGGTGGATCAGGATGGGTCTCTTGACTTTTCCTATATTATATGTTATACAAAGCTCCCTTTCTTGATTTCCATTTCAATTTTTGTAGAAAAGCTCTTTGTTCTGTTCAATTTTTTACATTTTACCACTAATTGAAACAGAGGTGAGAAATGGCTCTGGATGTTGTTGCTTCGGTTGGTGAACAATTGGTTGCCCCAGTTAGCCAATTTGGATATCTGATTTTCTATGACAGAAACATTAAGAATCTCAAAAAACAAGCCCAAAAATTGAAAGACAGAAGAGATAGAGTACAAGTATCAGTTGAATAAAAAAAAATGAATGGGCAAAATATTGAACCTCGTGTTGAGCAGTTGTTGACTAGGGTGGATGAAGTTTGCAAAGAGACTGAAAGATTCCTTCGAGATGAAGACAAAGGGTGGTGTAAAAATTTGAAATCACGATACTCATCGAGCAAGGAAGCTAAGAAGAAGATTCAAGATGTGGTAGAGCTATATGAAGATTTAGGAGACTTCTCTAGTGCTCCGACGGGGATCGCATTGACATTCATATCCGCCAGAGGTTTCAAGGGTTTAGAATCTAGAAGATTGATTATGAATGAAGTCATGGAGGCACTAACAGATGATAGTATCAATATGATTGGGATATGTGGGATGGCAGGGGTTGGTAAGACAACATTGGTGCAAGAAGTTGCCAAGAAAGCAAAAGAAAAGAAATTGTTCGATGAAGTTGTGCTGGTAGAATTGTTCGTAGACCCAAACTTGACTGCTATTCAAGGTATAATAGCTGCGCAGCTGGGTTTTCGATTCAGTGAGAAAAATTTACCTGACAAAGCAAGGGAGCTACAACAAAGAATATTGAGTAAGAGAGTCCTCGTAATACTAGATGAAGTTTGGTATAAACTTGAACTGAAAGACATTGGAATTCCTTTTGGAGCTGATCACAAGAGTTGCAAAATTGTGCTGACTTCAAGAAATGAAGCTGTATGCAACGACATGCACACTCAAAAGAAAATTACAGTTCAAGTCTTACCTGAAGATGAAGCGTGGAATCTCTTCAAAGAGCATGCTGGAATTTCTGATGAAGACGAAGGTAGCACAAATCATCTACGGTCCACCCAGATAGCAGTTGCGAGGAAATGTGGAGGTCTGCCTATTGCTATTGTTATGGTTGGAAAGGAAGTCAAATCGAATGGTACAGATGAGTTTTTATGGGATTCTGCTCTTGTACAAGTGCAGAATTCTATATGCGAAAGCATCGATGGAGTGTTTACACCTCTGCGGTTGTGTTACCAATATTTTCTAAGTGAGGAAGCCAAGAAATGCTGTGTTATGTTCCTTGTTTCCAGAAGATTCTAGTATTCCAATTGAAGAACTAGTGACATACGCAATTGGGCTCAATTTGCTTCAAGGTGTCACTACAGTGGGCGAAGCAAGAAAGAGAGTACACGACTTAGTTGATGGCCTCAGGAAATGGCATTTGTTGATGGATAGCGAAAGAAATGAATGTGTTAAAATGCATGTTGTAGTACGTGATGTTGCTATATTAATTGCATACTTTAACAAACAGTCGTTGATGGTAAGTTTGGAAGACGGGACAGAGAAATATTTACTCAACATTTACACTGCAGGGTCATTGAGAAGCACAGGTACGTCCCGCCTGCCTGATAATTTGGAACTTCCAAATCCCCAAAATTACACTGCAATGTCATTGAGAAGCACTGGTACGTCCCACCTGCCTGATAATTTGGAACTTCCAAATCTCCAGCTTTTACGGCTAGAGTGTGACCATGAAATACCAGATTGTTTTTACCAAGGGAAGGAGCTCAAAGTTGTAGCTTTATCATATATGGATGTCAAATCACTACCCAGATCGCTCCAATGTTTGACTAATCTCCGAACCTTGTCACTGTGTAATTTTGCGCAGGGGGATGTCGACATATCTGTAATCGGAGCTCTAAGTAATCTGGAAATTCTCAGCATTACTGGCTTTTCTATGAAGGAGCTCCCGAAAGAAATAGGAAACCTTACTCACTTGAGGTTGATGTATTTGTTGAAATGCCAAGTGCATAGTATTTCTCCAGGGGTTTTGAAAAGCTTATCAAGACTAGAGGAGTTATACGTTGGCGAAAACGTTCTATCATGGACTCCACTTATAAGCTTATCAGGAACAAAGGATAGAGAAAGCATTACTGAGCTAGCTTCCCTGCCTAGTTTAGTGGCTTTAGATATTCATGTTCAGTTCTTTCGGCCAACAGATTTGGGGTATGTTTGGTTTGTGTTTGAGAGATGTATTTTAAAAATAAAAAGTACGAAAAGTTGTTTGGTTTGGTTTTTTTCAAAAGATGTTTTGGAAAATTATTTTGAGAGAGAGTTTTGGAAAAAGTGATTGATTTGATGTGTGTGAGAGAGAGATTTGTTTGGAAAACTTGTTTGGTTTACAAGTTTTGAGAAATTTTTTTAGAAAAATTTGTTTGGTTTGATTACTTTTAAAAACTTATTTATAGAAAAAATTTCTCAAAATTTTTTCAGAAATACAAACTAAACGAACCCTTGGTCTTTGGGAATAATTTAAAAAAATTCAATATAACCATTGGCAGAGGGGAACACAAAAAATACTCTAACCTTTTTATGTTACAAAAGAGGTTGGAATTATGTAATCTTAACGCAAGTTATCTCATAGAGAGTGGGCTTAAGATGTTGAAAAGCTCTCAAATTTTGGAATTATTTGATGTAGCAGGTTTGCAAAGTATTCTCTTTGATTTAGATGAAGGTGGTTTTGAATACTTAAGGAACTTGTCAATGGCACATTGTAGAGATTTGGAATACCTCATCTATACAAGAAGCGATGAGGTTGGCGTTGGGGCTCCGCGAAAAGCCTTCCCTGTCTTAGAGTCGTTGAATCTCTAGAATCTAGATAATTTCAAAGGGATTATTCATTTTCATCATCGTGGTCGTGCCCAACTAGTACAGAAGAAGGGTGGTCCAATTCTCACTCAACTTGATTGCCTCCACAATCTTAGATTTGTTCAAGTGATGAAATGCAGTAAACTTGAAAGTGTGTTCTCACTTTCCATGGCAAGACTTCTCGTGCAATTGCAAACAATTGACATATATGAATGTGAAATGATGGAAGCAGTTGTTTCTAATTCCATTGAAATCAATTTTCCTAATTTGAAGGAATTAGTTCTTCGTGATTTGCCAAGTATGACTACTTTTGCAAAGGCGTGAATGCAATTGAGCTCCCACAGTTGAACAATTTAAAACTCTTCAAGATGCCAAAACTCACAGTTCTAATACTTACAAAAGGATGATAAAATACTTGTAAAGTTGTTATACAAAAGGTACGCTTCTTTAATTGTTTATTGGCTTTTTGATGGCTTTCAATTTTAACTAGCAGCAACTCTTGAACTAGCAAATAATGCATCCAAAAAAAAGGCTGTAGATCCCATCCTACATTATGCTTGCCAACAAAATTATTATACTGTTAGAACTACATACCCATCTGAGAAGAAGACATAGACACTATTTATCTGATTCTAAAAATAAAAACTTCTTAGAGAAATGGGAAGAACAAGACACCCCCATTTTATAACAAATCATAAAAGCAAAATTGGATTTAGGCTGTCAACCCAAAGGTACTTAGAAAACTAAATAGGCTTATCTTTTCTACATACATCATTGTGTTGATTATCCACTCATCTAAAACTTAAATTCTTTAAAAAATGGTAATTTTATTATTTGTATACTCAGCACGCTTAACATGTGTGGCATGAACTGTTGTGCATATTCAATTGTTGACCACCCATGCTTAAAAAGTTAAGTTGTTAGAGAATGGAATAACTTTTATAGTGTCATGCTTCTCTCACGTTTAACGTTAAATTTGAGAGAACTTGAGGGTTTCATGGAACCCACCATCGATCCTGTTTTAATAATCCAAACAGTTCATTTGTAGGGTCCTTCATATATATCATCCATGAAAAAAATTAGTTGATCTTATAATCGTAACTTTTTCATTTTATTGTGTTTGTTTAAAAATAAATAAATAGTTTATTTTTAAATACATGTCATTCATTTTTTTGAAGACAAATATAATAAAATAAAGATGCTACAATTATTAAATCGACCTACTTTTTTATATAAATGATATGCACTAAAAGTCTTATAAAATGAACAATTCGAATCATCAAACGGGACTCGTGATGAGCCTCTCAAGTTCTCTCAAGGTTAGATTTAAGCTTAAATGAAACCCAACCAATCATTTATACGTAAGGTAGAGATTTCTCTTAGGAAGCTTTAGAAATGTGTTATGTTATGTGTCACTTTTAGCTTCTTAGAGGTTTGCCAAGTATCCTTCCTAGAGTTAAAAGAGATGGCTTTCTATCTTTTAAGTTTTTTTTTCTCTTCCTTTGGCAATTTTTTATTTTATTTTATTTTTTTATCACTTCTTTCTTTTGTCTTTTATTCATCTTATGTAAATGCATTATTTTGTATCTTTTGAATTACTCCACCCTATATATTTATGTTTATTAATTTTAATAACATGTAGAAGAAAACTACAAAAGTATAATAAAATAAATGTAAAATGTTGTTATACAAAAATAAAGACAAAAATATGACACACAAAAAAAAAAAAAGAAAAAGAAAGAGAAACAGAGAGGGGAGAGGAGGAAGGAATTTAACAATCTACTTATAGACTCGTAATGAGCCTTACAGGCCTCTCAAATTCTCTCAAGTTTATATTTAAACTTGAATGAAACCCAACCAATCATATATGTGTAAGGTAGGGATTTCTCTTAGGAAATTTGGAATTGTGTTATGTGTCACTTTTAGCTTCTTAGAGGTTTGCCAAGTGTCCTTCCTGGAGTTAAAGAGATAGATATCTATCTTTTAAGTTTTTTTCTCTTCCTTTGGCAATTTTTTTTTTAAAATTTTTTGTAACTTCTTTCTTTTGTCTTTTATTCATCTTATGTAAATGCATTATTTTGTGTGTATCTTTTGAATTATTCCACCCTATATGTTTATGTTTATTAATTTTAATAACATATAGAAGAAAACTACAAAAGTATGATAAAATAAATGTAAAAGGTTGCCATACAAAAATAAAGACAAAAATATGACACAAAAAAAGAGAGGAAACATAGAGGAGGGAGGAGGAGGAAATTTGACAATCTACTTATAGACTCGTAATGAGTCATAGGCATCTCAAATTCTCTCAAGTTTATATTTAAACTTAAATGAAACCCAACCAATCATATATAAGTAAAGTAGAGATTTCTCTTGAAAAACTCTAAAAAGGTGTCATGTGTCACTTTTAGCCTCTTAGAATTTTGCCAAATGTCCTTCCTAGAGTTAAAGAAATCGCTTTCTATCTTTTAAGTTTTTCCTCTTGCTTTGTCATTTTTTTTTTCACCTTTCTTTTCTCTTTTATTCATCTTATATAAATGCATTATTTTGTATGGAAAACTACAATTTTAAAATACTTACAAAAGGATGATAAAATACTTGTAAAGTTGTTATACAAAAATAAAGACCAAAAAAAAAAAAAAAAAAGGAAACAGAGAGGGACAGGAGAGAATACGACAATCTACTTATAGGAGTACGTATATGAATAAACTTAGTGAATGATGTAATGCATAACTATTTGGTATATACATTCATATTTATTATTTAATAATATTTATATTTATAAATATAAAAATATTATATTTAATTATTATTCGTAAATTTTAAATTATGTATATTTTTTACACTCCTTTTCATGTGTGGCTAGGCTATTCTCTATAAACAGGTCAAACACGCAAAAATATTATATTTATTACAAGATATTTTGCCTACTTAAAAAAAGGAGGTGGATGTTGGAGAAAACATAATAAGTCTTATAGTTTTGACATAATTATACTAATATTTCCTAAATTAAATAAGCTAATGGACAAGGTGAAACTACAATTTTGCCCTTCTGCGTCATAATGAAATTTCCAATTTACTCCTCTACATACAACCCTACCTAATCCATTGTTATAATCTGCTTCTTCTCTCTCTCTCTCTCTCTCTCTCTCTCTCTCTCTCTTTTCATCAACGACAACGCAACTCGTCAATACCACTCCATTCCTCCGTCACCATTTTTTCTTTTTATCTTCTTCTCCATCAATAGAATGCACATATAGTAACAATTTCCATAACACATCCACCACCACCACCACCATTACTATGATCAACTTAATTCCTCCCCTTACCCTAACCACAATTGCCACTTCCCCCACCTCCAACCTCCCCTTCATCACCCAAATCAAACCAGAAAAAAACAGTACAAGAAAAAAAAGAAAAAAAGAAGAAGAAGACCACATCCGTGTTTTGCCTATTATCC